TATATATTTAAACACCAGATCTAAGAGTGACCTCAGTAGGTCGCCTAAAACAGAAATGGAAAGTTGTCAAAACTGACAGATTTTTTTCTCCGTCTCTTCCTCCTAACTCTGACCTCCCACTGTCTCTCTTCGCCTCCAAGTTTACATACAGAATAGTAAATGTGATTTCTTATTTGCTGACTTAACCCTATCTTCTATATTTACGCCTCGGTTCCTTAAACATTCGGGGTTTCTGTTTTACCGGTAAGTGATCTATTTGCTGAGTTTGATTATTAGTGTGACGATGTTCATCACCAATGGAGGGGGGATAGTCAGTACGCACTCAGCTGCGACGTCTGATTCAGGCAAACTGGTGACCTGTATCACTCAAAAGTCGAACCACATAATCTTTAGATATAGAAGGGTTGGGCTATGAACTAACAAGGTTCGAAATTGTCAAAATAAACGGACCTGAACTTCAGACAATGCTGCCCCAGAATTATTGCAAGCTTTTCAAAAACTTAATAAAAAACGCTTAATTAAACGCCACGTGTTTTGCAGGAAATAACAGAAACGAGGTTAAAATCGCATGACTCAGACTCACCTAGAGGTTGTTGGGGTAGTGATTTCTTCTTGACAAAAAAGTGTCATCCTGTATGCGAGAAGATGGATCAGATGTATGAAAGGGAAACATGGATGGAGATAGCAAATAATTAGTTCTCTAGACATACAATTATTGCACAGAAACACAAGAAACCCAAAGAGAAGGAAAGCTTAGTGAAGCACACGCGGTTGCCCCATATTCCAAAGTCCACTGTCGTCATTCTGGTAAATACATAATATACGTAATCATCATCAGAGAGGGAGACATCAGTGTTGCTCCAATGATGCTCCACTGTCACACAACCACAAAGTTTAGCTGATTATATCTGAAGCCCTAGAATGAAAAAAAGAGAAAAGAGTGGATGAGGGAGGGGACCTGGTGCTGGCCTATGGCAAGTGCTCAGTCAAGCCATCTGGAAAGAAATCGACTACTTGAACGCCACTGATGTTGATCAGCCACTAATTCTTGCAATATTCATTATAACCGTTCCGCTGTTCAGTCTTTTGGTGATTGGCTTTCCTGCCAACCGAAGGAGGTACGACAGCTGGGATACTGCCAGAAGTCGAGTGCGAGGTAAAGAATCCAGATACACGGCTTGGCGCAAAAATCGAGCTGCCAAAGTATGAACATCACTGTCTTCCTGATGGACTGTAGCAGCCTGAGAATGGTAGGTCATTAAGCAGAAAATAGGAGTTAGGAGCGACTAAACTGACGCTGGGCTGACCAAGCTTAAAGGGGAGCAACCAAGACATCGGCGAAGTATCTGAAAAAACTCCATCATCAGAAGTTTACCCCCTGATATCAGTGCTTACCTCGGAGTTTAAATAGTCAAGATAACAAACGAGGTTTAAAATCGTGGGTCCCTTAGCTTCATTTGAGATAAACCGTTCTGCTGTAACAGCATTTCGGTGCCTAAACACTACACTATGACGTAAGCACGAGGGCTGAGATAATACCAGGTTGTTCAAGCCTGGACGGGAGAGTTCGAGATGCAGGGGCCGGGTTTGAACCACGGACATTCCGGTCGGTAAATTCGCGGAAACCGAATCCTGGTTGTTGAAATGATGAATTACATACTATTCTCCAAAGCAGATGGGGAGGGGGGCAACATATATGTTGCAAGCTGTTCACCTTTCGGCTAATTTGACCCATCTGAGTAAACAGTGTGACCGGAAAAGGGAATGAACGTTCACGAGGGAATCCAGTGAGCTTAGCCGAGTTTTTGAAAACAGTTTTGTTTGCTGTGTTTGACAAACAAAGCCGCATAAAAAAGCCAACGGTTCTGGGTGGTGACCAGGTCACAAAATTGCCGAAGTCTCAAAAAAAGGCAATAGTATGGCCTGCCTGGGAGACGTGTCATCTAATCAGCAAATCCTGGTTCCGCGTCAATGACGGAGAACTCCATGAAGTTTATCACATAACGTACAACCTATTCTGGAATACGTTTAGGCATCCCATCAAAAAAGAAACCAGCAGTTCCTAATCGCGTGTTTCACTGCGAATTCAGGTGAGCTGATAAAGAAAGTCTGCGGTAGAGTTCAAAGAATTGTCCCAAGGGTTGTGGAGACCGGCCATGGTTGAGTAGCTCGAAATGTGCGGTTCCAGGAAGCCAATGATTATAGTGAAATGTTGGTTCCCTATTTGATGTTTGTGGAAGCCTTCTGCCTGAAAGATGTACCAATCACACCAGAAAAGTTGGGCTTTCTGCGACAAATCCATCAGGATAACCTGTGATGATCAGTTCAAATAAAACTTAACTCCCAAGTCACATTGGTGATGACACAAAACCCTCGACGGACAACTTGAAACTTGGCTCAGTAAGGTTAAAGGCCTCACAGAACCAGTTACTATCCACGTGGTCTAGGAAGTACACTGCTGAGACCAACAGTGAACAGCCAGTAGTATGAATGTGGCAGGCAGTCGCGCACTTAGACTTCAAATATCCAAGTCATTTCCGTAGGCGAACTGATCTAAACGACAGCACCATCAAGTTGACCAGGACGAAGCTTCGAACTGAATTTCGGAGCATTGCTCTTGAGAAGGTACGTATTATACAGCAAGTACAAAAGATGAATGGTGTTCAACCCAAGAGTACATAATGCATCAAAAGGTGCGAATTCCTTGCACCCTGGGAGATCCACTTTCGTAGGTATGTCGGAAGGTACTGTAACTACACTTTTCACACGCATGAGTGAACCTGGAACAATTCAATTAACAGGAAGCCGGGGTATCCCAGAGTTACAAGGACCCTGAACAAGTAGATGTTGGGAACCGAGGTGACTATCTTGAACCGATCCTTGTTTTAAAAGTAACTCGTCCGGGAATTCTTTTGGAAGACGGTGGACTTTTCGGTTCCTAGGCACATATAAATATCCCCAAATACCCTTCATGCGAAGTCATTTGTTCGACATCCAGAGAGAACAGGACCAGGACACTTCAATCCTGGGAGTTTGATTTCGTTGTGAAATTTGACTCAGGTTCGGATTGGCCAATGTATATCCCACTATGTATTTTCGCAGTGTATGTCATGCTCACTGCTGAAAGCTAGCTGTCAGACACATCAAAGCAATCTGGATAGGGATTGACAACATGAACGCCATCGACATCGATTAACAGCCATATTTTGCAGCGACTCCAACCAGGCGCAGTGGGGATAACATTGGAATTGCATTAAGCATGACGACAGCACTCAACACTCGACTGGTCTATGATTGACAACAGGCTTTGTGCTACACCATTGAACGGTGCACACAGAGCATATAGCACAGGTAGAAGACGGACCACTTTGAGTAAGGCTACATAAGTTGCAACCAGGTGCAACGCTGGTGATGAGAAAAACTCCAGCAGCAACGCCCCGGAACTATTGACATATTTAGTACATTTCGAAACCAACCGGGGAACGATCACCCAGACAGAGTCGGTACAGATGACAGTAAACTGCGTGGCCAGAAGTCTGCAAGAATTCAACGTAACGACAGGAGTAAGAGATCAATTCAGCTTCATTCTGGTACCGTTTGTTTGTACGTCAATGTGTAAACAGCGCAGCAACTCCGGTTCACTGATCCCCAAGCAACAACGGATTGGTCACAAACTTGTGATGTGATGCACAAACCTAACGACGAAATATTGGAGTACATATTTTCTGGACAATACGTGCAAAGTGCGATACCAGTATAAAGCTGCTGAGTTCACTCTTAAGGCCTTGCAAAGTTTACAAATAAGATAGTATACGATCAGAAAATGCTTTTTTTTAACGTGTTTCCGAAGAATCATTGTCTTCAGTGATGGGCTGGTCTACGACAAAACCCCTCAAAGAGCCCAACGAAACTGAATGGCATGTCGGTACCCCTATCCTTTCAGCAACAGAAATTTAGCGCGAGGTATCATCCTTCCAACGGCACAGGGTACCCGAGACGAATCGCTTGAACCTTTGAATTTTCAAAGAGGATGCTGAAGCGTTGCCGAAAGTTGATACTGTGGAAAATTTGGGACAAAGTGCTGACGCAGTCGAACTTTCTGACCATGATACCAACCTTTAAAAAGGACGCAACCTCGTGCTAAGACCATTGGGACCCTAGCATTCAATTTTGCGCAGGTTGATCGATCATTAAGGAAGGCATTGGTGAGAATCGAATTGATTTAACTAAGCTCGAGGACGAATCTACCGTATCTTCAACTTGATGAGTTCTTGAAGTATCGCTCTTTCGGATGTTCATCGTTGCTCGCTTTACCTCATCTAAAGGCTGCGGACTCTGTCGATTATCAAAAAATATGGCGGTGTCTGGTGACCAAAGGCATTCTTTCCAACTTTTATATGTTGCAATTTTCGGCCGCTTTAGATAACTACCGATTCAGCAGCAACTAAGTGACAACGTCATCGCCTCTAATGCTTGACTATATTTTCCCAGCTTTTCCCGTGTTCTGGTGGCTGAAACTGCAGCATCTGAAGCAAACGTGCCATTGATACATGATTTACAGCTGATAACCCTTGACGGTGTGAATATATGATTCACAAAACCCTTTCTTGGTTGGAATCCTGCCTGCAGTCCCCGGGTCATACCTTCAAACGCTCGAGTAATAACAGGCAAAATGAGTGGTGGAATGGATCTGATTACAGCAGGTATCAAGCTAATTCCTTCCTCAATATAGTGCATACCAGCTAACTCACTCTTTCATAGTAATAACACCTAATAATCTCTTAAGGTTGATGTTTGCTGTGTCCATGAAACATAGATACATGACTAAAGCGTAGTCATGAATCTTAAAGCACCAAGGACGGACTCAGCTCTTTGATAGTTTACACACTGGTGACCTAGGGGTGATGGCCCACTAGACACATGGTACGGAAGTGACACTCAGTGCAAGGTCAAGACGCACTTTATTGGACTCCAGTGAACAACCGTATTTCCGCCGTTGGGTTATGCAACTGGAACAAGCCCAGTGTCATCCGGTATAAAATCCGGCGAAGTTTATGGTGGCAGCTCATGCTCCAACGGAGTGTATAGCTAATACCGAGAATTTTTCTGTTCATATTTATCCGGGTTCACCCGTAAAGCAAGAAAAACTGACGTTTTCATTATTGTCAGCGGTATGAATGTCGAAGCCGGTAGTCTGGAATCAGACCAGGTTGTAGAATAGAAAATGAATACTCGCCACACTGATAGCGAACACTTCTGCTGTGCGCTGGCCATCGAGCATTTCCAGCACAAACGTTCGAACCATTTAACCTGGTGACCACGAAGTGCAAATCAACCGTGGAAATAATTGGACGATGTGGTTATCAGCCACCATTCAAGGCTGCCGCTCCTTCTGAATTACACAACTTGACTCCGAGGACGACACAGCGAGAGCACGTTTGCTAATTTGCTTTTCACTAGTCTATCCAGTCATCACTATCGTCAACCGTAAGAGGCAAGTGGTTACAGATGCCACACTTTCGTTTGCTGATGATCTGAGGAGATAGGGGTGAGTGACGATCCGTTGGAATCGGTGAGTAGCTCAGACACGCCAATTTGNTTCGGAGAGTCTCTGTATAACCCCAACCATCCGAAAGTCTGAGAATACAAATAACTTATTAAGTTCACAAGCTTTCAGGGCAGTGCTTGATGGACAAGCGCGTAAAGGAGGACAGACCGATCAATTGAGTCGAATGCGTTTTGGAAATCCAGGAGTACTAAAAGTGTGGATTGTCTGTTTGTATGACGTTGTTCTAGCACCTGACGGAGTGCGAAGATTTGGTCAATGTATCCCCTACCAAGTCATCAAGCCGGTTGTCAGTGTTTCACAAGCTGCGATTGGGCAAGGAAAAGAAAGTGGCGCCAACAATCTCGTTAGGACCGGGGTCAAGCTTATCCCCTTGCGGTTATCACACTCATTACTAGCTCCTTTTTTGAAAACGGGCACTATCACCGACTCCCCATTTGTCTGGGACAGACCAGGCAAACGTTGGCTGAGGACTTCATCCACGTCCTTGAATAATGAGGGTGTGGGGCGATTGGGATCATAAGCTCGGTGGCACTGGGAGAAGGTATGCAGCCATAAACCTCCGAGGCCGCAGGGGGTCTTATTTTCACTGTCCAGGGATCTAATTCAAATGTTGGCTCCAGATGAGTGGCACCTGGTGGCCGAGATAGCTGTTGTTCGAAGTATTCGGTCCACCTGTCGAGGTATTCTTTTTTCATTCAAGATGGTTACTTCCTTCTGACCCTCCATGGTTTTGCTCACAGACGGTTTTCCGGGACCGTTCACACGGATCAACTGAAGTAATCTTCGGACATCCCCGGTTTTCTGGGACTCTTCCATTTCTTTAGCTTGCCGACCAGGCTACACGGATGGCGTACACGCTCACTTTTACTTGAAGTCTGATAATTCGTCGGGTCAAATTATATTCAGGACCGGCTGGGATATTTCTGCAAGATTTAGGTATTTACACTGTTCGGTTTGATATCCAGTAATTGAGCGGGCCTGGTAGCGTACCGCAAACAACTCCCAGCACTATGCAGAGGTGGCGATCTCGTTC